CTACATTTTTCTTTTTTCTTAATAAATCCCAAGAAAATCTATTTGGCCTCGACTAAAATTCTATCATATACCTCTGAAAACTCTTTCTCTAGATTTTCAAATTGACCATCAACTCAATCTTGAAATCTTGTTGGTCTACATGGTTCCAGCTTCCTGATAAAGACCGGCTAGTATCCATCACACACCAAAAGGCCTTTACTTGCTATTTTAACCAAATGAGATAAGGGCCACCATGACAGCGTCCATGCTGTAATCATAGCACTTTACCACGGGAACTGGCGTCACCTTTATTTTCAGCAAATCTGACGCGTCTGTGTTTTGTCAGTCACCAACAGCTGTTGACCAGAGGTGTTGTGAGACTTGACTCAGTTGCATCTCTCCCTCTTCTATTTGTATACAGGATGCGTAGTAAAACCCTCGCTGGTAGCTGATTTTCATTTTTTTTAAAACATAAAATAAAAAATCCTTCTCTATAAGTGCGTAGTTTGTTTTCAGGTATTTGTTGACATCTGAACATTAACATTACTGGACTGGGCTCAAAGCTACTGTGCAACTAAAATGTGACAGAACTGTAGTATGCAGGTAGAGATATTACTCATTTTGTTTTATCTGGTGTTGGAAAGTTTTAGTTTTACCCACCCAGTCAGACATACTGTACATTTTTCATAGAAATACGTCACACTGGCTGTTTGCCCATTTATCTTATATGTGTTTCCAGTACTTCCACATGTGTGTAATGTATGGAAGTCTTCATGAACAATACATGATTCAAGAAATCCCCTGTCACATAATATTTAAACAAGCTTTAGGCTATTTTACTTGAAAAGCAGAGGATGAATTTTGCCTTCTGTGTGAGTCCCTTCTGTTTTGCATAAAACCAGTCTAACAGACTGACAATCACGAGCCAGCCTGATGCAGACGTTTGGCAGGAGTTTGATTTGTCACCGAGGTCATTGGGGACAAAATGCGCAATAACAACAACATGCAAAGAGGTTAAACAACACACGCTTTCAAATGTCAGTGTCACCAGGAAGGGCACATTTCACTGTCATTTGTTGCTCTGTGGGTGTTAAATTTGAGACCCTGCTCTTGTGTGTTCACATGTAAGTGTTGCTCCTTTAGATCGGAAACCTTCTGCTTTCTGTTAAAAGATGCCTTAACAATGAGATCATGCCTGAAATGGTCTTAAAGCCAAGATAAATTTTTACTTAAACATTTTCTTTTGAACTGTCTCACTCCTGAATTGATTTTTTTTTTCCCCTGCTAGACTTTTTCTTTTTGGTCTCTGATGTAATCTCTCCTCCCCCAGTCGCTCCCGGTTTCACCCCAAAACCACTCCCTGTTCTTGTGCCTCACGTGCAGACACACACACTCTCAAAACACTGAGCACTGCTGGTGAACATAAATCAGGCCCTTTGAGGTTTGTTGGTGATTGCTATGGTCTTGTTTATTTTTGAGCACCTACACACATCTGTTTTGCATTGAGTTATTAATATAATACTGTATGCACACGAGGCCCACGCAGGGATTTTAGCTTATAGTCTGTGTACATTTTGTTCCTTGTTCTCTCCTCCTGGAGGGGGTTGTATTTCTCAGTCAACACTGAGGACAGGACTCCACGTGGCACAGCTTTTCCCCCGTTTCTCACTCTTTTTCACATGGCTCGACACGAGCCGGTGAAAAATTACCTCAGGGTCTCGCCACATAATTTAAACTCCCTTCCAAGTGTAGTCAGATTTCAGAACGTGTCCTTTTATTTATTGTTCCACCAGCCTAGTAGGACACTGGGTTAGTGTCACTCTGCACATGCACAGACATGTCTTGGTCACTTCTCACTATTGCCACCATCTGCTGTAATTAACTGGTATTGCAGAGCACAGTATAAATGGTCACAACTGGGGGGTTTCAAAGTGATGCAGAGGTGAAGTGGGGGTGTGTGGGGAGCCAGGTGAGGCGGAGATGCTGCATGAAGTGGAAGGTACAGGTGTGGCAAGACGTTGTAACTTTTAATAGCTAGAGTGGTTATGTTTTGCAGATATCTGTAATTCCTTTCTTCCTAAAAGAACATTTCAGATATCCACAGTGTCATTCTTCTAACACGAAGGACGTCACTTTTTTCCATTCATGTTTTTAGGGTTTCTCATTGAAAATATCTACACTTTGGTTGTACATACCTTAAATTCACATTGCAGGAATTTGCAACTGCGTTATGACAAGTTGTAATTCCAGTTTCATATATCAACAGATCAGTACTGACTCATCATAATTAGAGGTCAAGATATATTTAATTCCACAGCAGCAGCCACCACCACTTCTGCTAACATGGTTTAAATGCTTTGCTTGACCAATGTCTAATTGGAAGCCTTGTGCGAGTTGCTTTATGCGCAACAATTCAAACACGTCATAATGATGTTTTAGATGTCTGCAACTATTGTTTAGACTAATCAGAGCTGCATTACAGATTACTGTTGTTGTGATTGGTTACAATGACATTAAATGCCGTAAATCTGCTTAGAAATCTCTTTATTCTCAAGTTAAAGCCTCACTGAATCCACGGGAATATTAAACTGTATTACTGTTTACAACCTCTAAACAGAATAATAATAGGAGACAGAATCTGTTTATAGAAACTGTTGTCGTTTCAGTGTACATATATAATGTAGGAGGGATGGCAGAAGGATTTTGTTGGAAAGGGGACTCTCAATGTCACACTTTGAAAACCCCCGTACTGCGTGAACTTAGTTACCAGTGCAGATGTAAATGCTGCATGTTTGCTCTGCATTAATGAGCTGCTTTGACTCCTGTCAGATCTCTCTGGAGACGGAGCGCCTGGGTCCTCGTCGTGTGGAGAGCCTGAGGAAAGAGGATGAGGAGTGGCAGAAGAAGGCTCATGCCGCCGTGCTCTCCATTCAAGACCTGACTGTCAAGTTCTTTGAAACCACGACTCGAGCTCAGAAAGGTAAACACACACGGGAGGTGTTCCTCTCTTAAATGTAGGGCATTGTTTTTAATGTGACCTCTGCACCTTTGTATCGAATGTTTACTTTATAACAAAGTGCCACAGAAATCCCTCAAAACAAACATTCGCTCGCTGGTATCCGTATCTCCAACCTCTCACATACCAGAATGATTTTTTTTTAACATCACCCCCTCATTCCTGAAGTATTTTAATCCTCAAACCATCTCAGCTATGAACTGGAAGGAAACATGTCAGCTGATTTTGCACAGAACATGCTCAGCTATGAGCTGAAGTACTGATATGTAACACAGTTTTTTATTATCCGTCATAAAGCTGCAACTTTTTTATGTCACGGAATCTGTTATTTATTTTCTTTTTTGTAGTCAGCTGTTTATTTTCATTATTGTTTGTATCTCAATAGCTTATACATGATCACAGCATTAGTCATAGGCCTGAGCTATGGAGAAAAAAACTGAACTAAAGGTGAAAGATGAAGAGAAAAGATTTTTTTTTTTAAACAGAAAAAAAATCAATAAATATGTACCCTTGCAGTGCATTAAGTAGCATTTGTTTACACCACCAAAATGCATTTATTCTGACCATCGCTCAGCTACTGCTTTGTAGAGGCAAGTGTATGTGCCCTTTCACCTGTGGAAAGCTTTGCTTAGGTCTCAGGTCAAGTAGTCTATCCAAGGACTCCGTAGATCCATGAATCTGTTAGTTTCCCTTAAGCTTGGCATTCAGCCTCTTTGTTTGAAACACCATAGAATCTCCCTGAGTTTTAGCAGAAGGTCTTTCATTAATGCAATTAAATAATCTATATTTTTCTGCAAAAAAACAAAGACAAGAAGCTCGTCCAACAGCTTCGATCTCCTTACATCTTCGACTCAGCTTTCAGGCGGCTGGCCCAGATCCTTTGAAGTCCTGTATTTTAATAGTGAACTAATCTCTTAAGTTATACATGATCACAACTTTGATATTTCTGGGCAACTCCAGAGGCTATGTATGTATGTATGTATGTATGTATGTATGTATGTATGGATGTATGTATGGATGGATGGATGGATGGATGGATGCCCCAGTTGCCAATATGAGAATATGTGTTAAAACTTTTGAATAATTTTAAATAATTAACAACAAACTTATTGATTGGTCTCAACAGAGCTGGATCCTGTGTCAGCTGAATTCTATGTTTTCTTGGTCGTTAGATTCCAGTATTAGATTTCAGTTAAAACAGGTGTCCTCTGGTGCCTTTTTTTGTCCAACATACAGTCCAAAACTCAAAGATATTGCCCAATGCTGTACTACAGAGGAAAAACAGAATGTCTTCTAATGAGAGCAGCTGACACCAGAGATTTTTTTTTTTTACAGTTTCTCTTCTTGCAACCATTAAACTCCTAAAAACCTATTTCTGTTTAGTCAGAACAAACATTTCCATGAAAATATGCACTTCATGTGATGAAATGGTTTAGATGTCCCTCTACACCTTTGCCGCCTTTGATATGCACAGATATTTAAATATGCAAATTATTCCCTGCTTCTGTCTCCACCCACTCTCACTGCTGGCCTGCAGCTCGAGCTGCCAGTGCATACACAACTCTGCTAAAAAAAAAAAAAACCCTACTAACTCACCTACAGTACATGACAGAATTGATTCTTTGGGTTTGTTACATATAGAACCACAAAAAGTCTGAAACCAACTTTTTAAGACGGTCATTGGTACGCTGTAGTTTCAAGGTATAAATACTTATTGTGCTCATGATATCACATCCCATACATAAAAAAAACACCATATGGACATGTTAACTAGGTAAAAAATGTGATTTTCACTGTAGAAAGCCTTAAATACTAATCATTGTAGCTCTAGTAGATGTCGAACAATCACATGTGCTGTATGTGTTGTAGCTCTGTATGAGCGGATGCGTGCTGACCAGAGGAAGTTCGGCAAGTCGGCGTGGACAGCAGCGGTTGAACGCATGGAGCGACTGCAGTACGCCGTTTCCAAAGAAACTCTGCAGCTGATGAGGGCTAAGGAAATCTGCCTGGAACAGAAGAAGCATGGCTTGAAGGAGGAGGTAAAACACAACACGCTGATGCAAAGCACAACGAAATGAATCACTTATGTGCACCAACATCTTGGAGTCTCAGCTTTATCTGGGTGTGTTCTTAAAAAGCTTGTGATGCTCAGCAAGTTTGTCAGAAGCCACAATAACAAGACTTTAGTTAAGAGAAGGAAAAATGCAAGATAATGGCCGTGTTGGAAAATGACCTCATGGCTCCGGCATCCTGTAATGGAGGGAATAACATCCTGGTCTGCAAGAGTGGAAATGACTCACTGGGAATGACTGTCAGGTCAAACGTTTGCTGTACATGAGAAACTACACTAAAACTGCTCCGTCTGTGTTGTAGTTTAGCACCTAAAGAGAACATAAACCCAGTGTTTGGTTTAAGTTCCACTCTGTGTGTAAGAAGAAATGCAGTTAGTTCTTTGGAACATCACTCAGTCTGTGGCGTATGACCATGGAACTGTGAAAAAGCAATGTTCTTGTGGTGTTGTGGTTGCAGATGCAGAGTCTGCAGGGTGGTGAGGATGCGATGCTGCGCCTGGACCAGCTGGAGGCGCTGTACTACGAGCTACAGCTGCAGCTCTACGACATCCAGGCCGAGGTGCTGCGCTGCGAGGAGCTGCTGCTGACTGCACAGCTGCAGAGTCTGCGCCGGCAGATGACAGGTGAGACTCTGCTTTCATCTTTGAGTGCAGTTTGTCTTCCTGTAGCATCAGTGTGACAGACTCTTGTTGTACTGGTATCTGTGTGTGAGGAAAATGTAGTGTATTGGTGATACATGGGAAGAACAGAAAAATGTCTCAAACATTTGAGGCATTTTTAACCCTCTGAACTTCAAACCGTTTCTGGAGTTTTTCTGCTCCTGTCACATTCTTGCTCACTTTTCACTGAAGCATCAATTTCTGCGCCTCTGTGGGAAAATGTTTTGTGCGGTATAACACAGTTCTAATGCCATAAATCATTAAAAAAAGAAAAAAAAAAAACAATGGTAGAATTTGTTCATTTTTCCAGGTGCATGCTTGTGTTACCCCAATATAAGGGGAAATAGTGACTGTACATGTTCTGGATATTTTACTACGTACTTCTTTCCATACTAGTCTCCTCTCTGCTCTGTGTAAACACAGCCTGTAGTTTACTCACAACTTCTCAGAACTTTTGACTTTTGGTCACAGCTTAGTAAATGATGGCTTTTGGTTGTGAGAAGCACAGAACATTTAGCTTTTACAGAATCTGGTTGGAGCAAACAGTGACTTTTATGAAAAATCATAATGCTAAACTTAGATTTGGGTCATTTTCCTAATGTGTCACAAATTACTATCTCAAAGACAGTAACTTGAAAATCAGACTATTTTTTCTGCTTTTACAGTTTCAAGCTCTGATAGAAACTTGTATTTTGGTCAGTCACAGGTGCTTGATAGTAGCCATATCAGAGGCATCTGTACCAGCAGTATTTCACTGAATCTATTCTGATGCTCCAACAGAGCGGCAGGATGAGGTGGTGTACTATGATGCCTTTGAGAGCCCTGATGCCATGAAGGGTGTAGAAGACCCAGCGACCCCGCCGTCGCCCCTCAGAGATGAAGAACTCGGCGTCCTACAGCAGAGGACCCGGCAGCTGGAGGCCCGCAGGGGCCGCATCACTGCCAAGAAAGCCTACCTCAAAAACAAGAAGGTAAGCACAGAAGACTAATGACGGCCTCTGGGACTGTTAGCTGGTGTAGTTTCAAGACCCGTCTTGAAAGTGCAGCTGTCTTCTCTCACAGCTGCAGATCAGTTTACTGCATCATTTATATGCTTTATTTTTCCTCAACAGGAAATTTGCATCGTTAATCACAACCAGAAGATACAACAGCGCCAAGGTAGCCACGCTGACAGCAGCTCTCCTCTGATGCAGCAACAGGTGAGAGTCATCAGTCTGTGGCTGCATAGAAGCCAATGTACAGACAGTGCATTTACAGATTAGCTGTTAAAGTCTTATATTTTTCACTGTTTTTATGAGTTGATTGTGCTGTAAATAAAAATTTTTAGTGAACAAACACATCACATACATTTTAGACAGCAAATTGAGCAACAGAGCAGCTTCTGTTTCAGCTTGGATCATTGTCTTTAAACTACAATAGGTCTCCTCAAAGGCTTTAAAGGTGTTGTTGTGCTCTGAGCTTGTTTTTCCTTTTATTTATATATAAACAAACTTTGTTAGGTTTAAACTTTGTAAGGTAATCTCAATTAAGCCACAGGAGTTTGAGGGTTTTTGAAGGGATCCCCGGCAGTGATTCTATCCAAAGTCAAGCCGTGAGTCCTGAGGTGCATAGATTTTAACTGAAGTGGGCTGCTGAATAAGGTTTTTTACATTGTCAGTGTATTTCCTGCAGTAGATGAAAGTCGGCAAAGAAGCTGAGCACTAAACTGCCGTGCAAAAAAAGGCCTTCCTGAAAAATGTATATCAATTTGAGCGTATGCTACATTTAGAATATTTTCACCTGTTTACTTTGCTGTCAAACGTTCCTTTCCAACAAGGAACTGAAGCCGTTATATTGCTCTGTGCTCAGTCATTTTACATCGTAGCACACAGGAGCTGCTGGTCTAGTGCTGCTTTGATCAGTTAGTTTGTGTAATTGTGTGTGTTTTAACGGGTTTATTTGGATCTGTGGAATAAGTTAAAGATGACCACAGCATAACATCAACATTTTATATGTTTTAACGAACAGGTATTAAAGCATTCCTGAAAAGAAACAAGCGTTTAGTTTAGTTTAGTTTAGTTTAGGTGCTGTAAAGGACTACTTTTATTACTATATTTCACTGCACCATGTACAGTCATCTGAGGAACCGTTAGTTTGAAATTTTGTTTGTGTTGGTTGACTGAGGGCGTTGTGTTTAGTTGGCTTTTTACCAAGGAGGTGATTGTTTTAAATGGATGTAAAGAAGAAATGCCTGCAGGCTCTCACAGAATCCACCTTCACAAACAGTCATTTCTGTTACATGTACTGAATGGTTTCAAATGATAGCCTTGTTTGTTGTTGTCTTCTGCACCTTCAGGGCGACTCATTAGGTGCAGACTGTAGAAGCCTTTTAGCTTTGGTGTTTTTAAAATTCCTGCAGTTTTTTTAAAGAAGCAAACCAGGACATGTAAGCATGAAGTCATATGAACTGGCATTGAACTAAAAGCTGTTTATTTATCTTTGGATGAGCTCATGAAAAAAAATATTAATCTGAATCAATTTGCATCAGTAGGTTAGACATCAGCTGGAGCTCTTCTGTTGTAAGTAGTGATGAAAATTGTAATGGGAGGCAAGAAGTTGGAATCTTGTCCTGTGGTATTACTGGGAGATGGTGAATAGAAAGCACCCTAACCCTCACTACATTCTGTTGCTGTATGTGGAACGGCATCAGCCCTGATTAATCACTGTCAGGACATAGATTTACAACACCAATATCACAGCAAAACTAGTTTGTAAAACAAGTGTGTTTACATCAAAACAATAGTTTCTTATCTTTTCTTCCATCTATAGAGGTACAGACTTGTTGAGTCACTATATACAGCACACTGTTTCACTGTACATTTGCCTCAAGACAAACTTTTAAACTTTTGTTATTAAAAAAAAAGAGAGTGAATGCTAATCCTGTATGACCTAAAATCAATAGCTTCATCAGTTGACCTTTGATGTTTCTCATGAAGGGAGGAGAAGCTGATGAAGACGACGAAGCCAAGCAGAACGCCAGAGTGAGTCAGGAGAGGCAGAGGACTCTGGACAGGCTTCGCAGCCTCAAACAGGTAAGAGCTCACCTCAGACATCCACTGTTTAGCTCCACCAGCCTCCTCTGAAAAGGGAAAGACGTTCACACTGATTAAATGGTAAACCTCATTTTTGTTTTTTATACTTTTGTTTAATTTTAAGGTTAGTTGACTTTACACTTCACACCTCTCACACATCAACCCTCTGAATTCATGAACCCTTTGTTATCTCTTTAATATATCACCAAAATTACACCATTTATCTGAGTCAGAAATGATAAAAACAGAAAGATTTTTGATCTCAATTGACCTTGAACTCATCATGTCTGGCGAGCAGTTTAATTGAGAAAATTAGCAAAGCTTAAAATGGTGGTACTTCATCAAAATCACTTTATTCTGCATGTTTAATTTAAAATTGGCCAAAAGCAAACCGTTTACATTAACCAGATCCCATTAGAAAAAAATGACCATTAATGACTATAGTAAATAATATAATAGTAAAATATCTGTTTCATGTAGAGCTTTGTACATTTTTGAAAGATAAATAATCAATGAAATTCAACTTGTTTTTTTTTTTTTTTTTTCTGTTTTGTGATTATCTGTGTCATACTGCACAAAGACCATTCTCTCAGTTCTCTCCTCTGCTTCCATAGAGGCACAGAACTTTATATTGCACTAAGAAATGAGCCCTCAGTGAGTAAAAATGTGACAAAAAACACCCAGAAACTGCTCTTGGTCAGAGGGTGTCAGTATCTTTAGTCCATCTTTCATATTTAAACATGTTCTCATGTATGATGTCTTAATTATTCGTCTGACGGTGGTTCTTTCATGCTGAGTGTTTGTTGCAGTGACCAAGTTAACTTACATCTTCACTGACTCTTGTTGTTTCTGCACAGCGCTATCCAGGACAGGTGACCGTGAAGTCCAGCCGGCTGCGTCTGAGTCAGGCCCACAGTCGGAGGCGAGTCGGGCAGCAGCCCAGCACCCAGGCGGCCAGCGTTCAGACCGACTGCTCAGATCTCCCAGAACTCTCTGCTCCTCCTCCACCCGACACCTGCGACTGCGATAGCGTGTCTTTACCCACAGTCGATCTGCGAAGCCTCGACTCCTCGCCTCCCTTCCTCTCGCTGCCTCCCCTCTCAGCCTCCCCGTCTATTCTCTCGCTCGGTCCTCCTCCACCTCCTCCCCCACCGCCTCCTCCGCCACCACCTCCCCCGCCTCCCTCCTCAGAGGACCAGCGGCAGGTCGAGGAGGGGAGGCAGAAGGATCCCGCAGGAAGTCCGGTGAGGAACCTTCAGTGTGAGTCGGAATCCGCCTCACTGCCGCTGGCTCCGTTCTCCCCACGATTCTTCGACAGCAGCCAGCTGGTGACGGCGAGGAAGAAGCTGAGAAAGACGGCGTCTCTGGACTCATCGCAGTGGAGGAGAGGTGAGGAGGAAAGCTGTAGTTTAAAGTTAAATTCCTTCTGATTTCAGCGATGATTAGTTAAAGCTCTTCACTGGACTTTTTGGCTGAACTGCAGGCTGTGTTTACACTGAGTAGAGAACCAAGTATGGAAACAAAAGGAAAATTAAAATATCTAGCATGTGGAGTCTTTTCCAGTATTGGTAACACATTTAGACACTTGAAAAGATGTTGTACAGGTTTTCTTAAGATGTATTCTTTAAGATATATGGCAGTCAGAACATTTATATTGCCATAAATGCTACACAAATTACATTTTTTGAGTTCTTTGCACTTTTACCCATGGTTCTACGGTTTCCATAAAGATGCAAGAGTTTAAGTAAAACAAGTAAAAATGCCCAGAAACAGCCTGCAGTTCAGCCTAACGCAGAACTTTTGGCTTTTGTAACAGAATCTGATGCATGCAGTTCATTTTGGGCAAATTTGATTTGATAAAGTTTCCCCATCTAATGGCACATCACAATGAGTAGTTCAAGGACAGTCGGAAAGTTAAAAATCTGACGGTTGTTTCTGTTTTCACAGTTTCTGGCTCTGAAAATAGTCTGACTCAGGCAAAAAAGAAAAGATAACATGTCTTTCAAACCTGCAGGCAGGTTCAGAGTTTGATAAAAGTGTGTGTACGTTTATATATGAGCCAAACTCTTCTGTCGGTGTGTTCACAGCGAGCTCCCCCATGGATGAAGTGCTGGCCTCTCTCAAACGCGGCAGTTTCCACCTGAGGAAGGCCGAGCTGAGGGTCCTGGGCCCCGACCCGGACGACGACAGCAACAACATCCTGGCTCAGATCAGACAGGGCGTCCGGCTGAGGAAGGTACGGACCCGGCCGGAGCAGCAGCGCCACCCCAAGGGCTTCCCCCACTCAGCCGACGCTCTGACCCGCAGCATCCACGAAGCTCTGAGGAGAATCAAAGAGGCCTCGCCAGAGTCTGAGTCCGAGGATGAAGGCCTGCCCTGCGCTGACTGGGAAAGCTAATTTGATTGGAAGAATATTTTTGATCTTTTGTGCATACATGGAGCCAAAACGAAGAGAAAATGATGGCCCAAGCTGAGCAGACAAACCGGGGTTAAATCACCTGGACATACCTTGGTGCAATTTGAACAAAAACCCTTGATTTTTTTTTTTTTGGTTTTGTTTTTGTTTTTTAAAAATATATATGTATCAGAAGACTTTTTTTTCATACTTGTGTTTGTAAAGACGGACCACTAATCTTTTTTTATGTCGTTGCTGTGGCGCTCTGGGCGAGGATACAACCTCTAACCTCTCATTATGTCCGAGTCGTACTGTAGCTCGCTGTGATGGGTTTGTTTTAGGAAGTGAGCATCATGTTCCTCTCGCTTACAGTGACAGCAAACGTTCACTGAATACGTTCGCTGCACACTTTTACATTTTTACTATACAACTATTTGTACTGTACATCTTCATCCTGAATGCAGGATCTGACGCTTATGTGAGGAAGAGTTTGACATTTTGGGAAACACACTGCCGCCTGTAGCTTCATATTTAGCATACACATGAGAGGGGTAGTAACATTCATATTTACAAGCGTATTTCCCAAAATTGCCAAACGGTGGCTTTAATTTGCAAATGTGGGTCATCGTGTCGTTAAAGAATGTCAACATGGAGCATGACTTGTTCCACTTTTAGCATTTTAGCTTGTCCAGATAGAAGGATGAACAGTAAGGTGATGAAACAAGAGTTTCAGTTTGAATCTCCAACATATAGTTCAGCTGGAGGCTGTTAATGTGCTTTAAAACTCTGTTGGAGCAGTTTAAAGCAGAACGCGGGGGTGTTTACAGGTAGCTGCCAAAAATAGTCACACCCCTCCTGCTTGAGTTGGTCAAATCCAAGAAAAAAACAAAACAAAACTCGTGCAGGGTTTTTTCTGTATAGATGAATTTCTGGTGCATCCCAAAGAGGTTTGTTGCAGGAAGTGTCAAAGGAAAATCCCCAGTGGCAAAACTGTCAATTGAGGTCTCATTTACACAAATATAACAAACATTTATGTTTATCTGAGGGTCAGAAATATCAGGAAAATATGTAGATTTCTGTCAAATACAGTAAAACAGACTCACCGTCTTTACTGTAGTGCGTAGTCGCCGATGAAGGCCCGTTCTGAGTCAGGGACGACCCTGATACACTTGTAGCTTCAGGTTGATTGTATCGTTATCTCTGGTGTCTGTCAGGAGTGAACGTCCATAAAAGCCTCTTAGAAATCACAGAAAGAAGGAACGCAGCCATAGTCGCCTGCACATCCATAAATAATGTGTTTACCTGCAGGTCGCACAGGATCAGACGCCCAGCTGGGCTCCGACACACAGGAAACCCGTAGACTTGAGATCCTGCTGCATGCAGACGTACAGCGAGTGAGAAGAAGCAGGCGGACAGATCGGATATTTCCACCATCGCTTAGCAGCCAACACTGGAAATGTTAGCACACAAACAGCCGTAGCTTCTCGTTTATCCGTTGACTTGTGCGTACTCTTGTGATACTGTTAATGCCAGCTCAGTATTGTCACAACATATATACATAAAGCGTTTATATTTCAGCTCCATTCGAAGTATAAATGATTACTTGAATCTAGATTTGTTCTAGCTGTTTTCTGTCACTCTGCGAGATGGAGAATGGATTTACTGTAATATTTAAATACCTGCACAGGATTCCCTCTGGTTAGTTAGTTGGGTTAAATGCTTTGACTAAACGGAAAAAAAACAGACGTAAGTGGCTTTATTGTAGCTACAGTCTTCAGATGTTAGAATTAGAGCACAGAGAATTGACCTGCATCTGTTTTTTGCCAGTTTTTAAAAACAAAATTCTCTGGATTGCAGCTTCTCCAGTAGGACGGTTTGCTGCATTTTCTCTGTTTTATGTAATTGTAAACTGAATATCTTGAGGTTTTGGGTGTTTGGTTGGACAAAATTGAAGATGTTGCTATGGACTTTAGGACAGTGTGATGGGTATTTTTCATAATTTCATACACATAAATGATTTTAAAGAACCAGCAGATCACTTCATTGAAGATGCTTTTCTATGGTGAAGCTTGTTGGCAGGGATTCGTTGAGGCTTCACTGCCCTCTGCTGGTAACCGCCCTCACAACATTTGGATCATATGTGATGTTTATATTTATTTTGCAGTTTGTTATTTTCACTGTCACTCTCTTTCCACTGCCTTGTTCTTCTTTTTTTTTTTTCTCACACATTTGTTTTCCGAGCTTACTCACTTTTACTGGAGTTGTTGTTTGAGTTTGTTGTGTGTGTGATTTTTATATCAGCTGTCAAACCTGTTTTTCACTGAAACCCACATTTTTCTAGATGTAATATGTCATGCACCGAGCACCGGGGCTTAGCTTAAAGGAACGCTTCAACAGTTTCTTTTCTTACTTGCTGACAGTTTTGAAGAGGAGAATAACACTGTGTTTGTGTGTTAAATATGAAGCTGGAGCAGGGGAAACGACGAGCCTGGCTCTGGCCAAAGAAAAATGTATACAAATCTGCCTCTAAATCCCACAAACGATCATGTCAGGTCTCACTGCAGGACAGTTTTTGGCTGGTTTTACACCAAAGCAGGTAGTTTACACATATCCCATGTGGAATTAACCCTAAACGAGTCGCACATCTTGTATGAAATTTCATCTGAAACCTCTGTAGTGCCATTTTGTCCATAAAAATGTGGACATTAACTACGACACTCATGGTGTAGTTCAGCAGCAAACAGTCCTCAGTTTATGTCAAACCATACGTTTCGCTTTAAGTACTCAGTTTTCCAAAATTTTAATGAACATCGGCAGATAAACGTGTATAGACCTGCTTAGAAAGAAGAGAGCAGAAGCTCCAGAACCTGCCTGGATCATCCCAGTTTTAGGTGTTCTTCAGTTGTCACCTCTTCCTATGTTCCATGTCAGATAGGAACTCTTAATAGTAATGCATTGTTCAGATCATAACCAGATATGATCAAATAAACGTATGTAGACATGATTAGAGAGCCTTTTGAAAAACATCTTCAGAATCAGTGATTTTACATCTACTCCATGATCAATGTGATTGATTGATAAGTTGTCAGTACATACAATGTTCATAGTAAGAAGGAATTTATTAATAACATATTTGATGTACTTAACATCCCAAAATATGAACAAATGCAGCCAAATAAATGTCAAAAACTGTCGTAGAAATCATAGACTTGCTTGAGAATAACCAGTTGTCTCTGCTTCCAGAGTGTCAAACTGGAGCTGCTAATAGCAAATTTGTCTCATTCAAAATTCAAAAATGCAGTTTCTGCTGGGTTACAGAAGTAGTTTCACCACCAGAAACGCTGAGCCGAGCCAGCTGTCGTTTCCCTCTGATTCCAGAATCATATTTGTCGCACATAACACTCTGCAAGAAAAACCATTGTATGAAGAGGGTGACTCCTGCTTAAAGCATCCAGTTACAGATGGGCTGCTGCTGCTGAGTGTTAAAGTCATCATGAATACTGTGCTCGCAGGTCCTCCTCACCCTCCTGCTGTCAGTGGCAGCAGATCATCTGATCTTGCCCCTTTTTTGTTTATTTAACCTCTCTCGGATCATTCTGACACGTAGATTTTCTTCCGACCTGAACAGTTTGACCTTTACGACCTTATGCATGTGACTGGTTTGAGGACAAACCCATCACAACGTAAGTGCAATAATGAAAGAGTCATTTTATGAATTATACTGTAATGAAATGTAAATCCTGAAAAAACTATTATCCGCATGCCTAAATGTATTGAAGTATTTATTGAAGCTTCATATTTTAAAGAATTTTTAAAATGTAAATGTACTTTATAAGGTTTTTCTTTTTGTTTCCTATCATGACATTCCTCTCTGCTTTCTATATCCCAGTTATATATATATTTTTTGTCCTTTCAAAATAAAATGAAGCACCAAACTGTTGCCTTTGAAAGCTCCTTGATGTATGAAGATACTGCTCTCTAGTTTTAAGCCATATTGAAACTATAATGCCGTTGTAGACACTGCAGATGGAGGCTGGTGTTTTACTAATACATATTATAAATGCTGAAGGGGATGTACATACCGCTGAAAGGTAAGTTGCATTGTGGGTAATGTAGGCATCATATTTTGGCTAAGAAGTTAGATATGAGGAATAAAAAACAACATTTTAGTCTTTTCCTGCATATATTTCCATTATTTCATTTTAAAATCATGAGTCAAAGAATAATAAATAAAACTATAAGATAAAGCTTTAAATTTTAAAGAATAAACGTTAAACTAATGATTGATTTACCTAAAGGTATAATTTAAGTCATTTTATTCCTCATAAAACATCGCAAGATTTGGGTTAAAAATCGCCTTGTAACTGCATTAAATATGAACACTTGTTGTTTATATATACACTTATTAATTCTGTTGGACTTACATTTTCCGAGGATACCTCTGTTTTCCGTGTCCATTGCAAAAACACGTCCGGAGCCTTCTTAGACGTCAGAGAAAAAAAGACGCTTCAGATCTTCCCTAAGAATCATCACATTTTTAGTTTTTTTCCTCAGAATCAGTGATTAATTGATAGTTTTTGGTGCATTTAATGGTAATCTAAAAGTACAAAATGCTTTAAAAGGAATTCGGCATGCTTCATTTTCTAAAATGTAAACACATCAACAACACATTAAAGTCTTTAAACACGCAGAGATCAGACAAAGACGCTTCCACAAACGAACTCCGGAGCGTGTCTGAGATATGTCAGGTTTTCTTTAGTGTCAAAGGAAGAAATCGATCGTTATCTACACACCCATGGGTGCAAAGCAATCAGAAACTGATAGTAGTGAATTCGGCACACTTAATTAAAAAATAAATAAATAAAATAAAATAATAAACACAACTATAGTCACACAAACGAATATAATTCCGCTTCGATAACACAGGAAAGACGCTCCAGAACTTAACCGAAAAATCATATAATTTAAAAATGTTCTTCATTTTAAAAATAATTTATGTATAGCTATTGGTGCATCCACGTGTACATAGCACACAACAGCTGCTCATAAACAATTCGGCGAATCTATTTTTCAGAACAGTAAACAAGCAAAGCAAATAAACGTCGGGAAACGCGCTTAGAAACCAGAAAAGCCTTGATGACGCAACAGAACTTGAGAATAATTGCGTTTTGAAGTTTTCATTATGCTCAAAGTATTTCATGCAGAGTTGTTTGTGCAGCCAATAACACAAAGCAATAACAAACTGATACTAGTTAATTCGGCTTATTCAAATTCTCAGAAAGCAGTAATATATGCAAATAAACGTCTATAAACCCGCCTAAATGTGACAGAAAGACGCTTCAGAACTTAACCGAGATTCATTCCGATTTAAGCTTTCCTCAGTATATTAGTTACTGGACGGTAAATATCCATGCATTAAACACACAGCACATGACAACTGTAAATAACGAATTCGGCGTACTTAATTTGCAAAAAGTAAGCAAACACAGGGAAATAAACACACTTAGAAATCACAGAAAAAAAGACGCTCCAGTACAAGAACCTCAGAACTTACCTGAGAATCGTCGCGTTTTTAAGTTTTCTTCATGTTTAAAGTGACTCGTTGATAGTTGTCAGAGCATTAATAGGCACATAGCAATCAGAAACTGTTAATAAGGAATTCGGCGTACTTACCTCACCCAAATGTAAAGAAATAGAGGCAGATAAACCCTTAAATACCACAGAAAAGACGCTGCAGAACTTGCATGAGAATTCTGACATTTTGAAGTTTTCTTCAGTTTTAAAATAATTCATTCATAATTATCAGCACATTCAAATGTACACAGCAAAGAGGAACTGCTAGTAGTAAATTCGGCAAAGTTGATTAACAAAAATACTTAAATTATGCTGATATTTATGTGAGTTTGATTTCAGGCACTTCTGTAATGTAAGAACTTGACCTGACCTGGCCCAGTCTGGAGGGATGGGTTTCCATGGTAACTTCAGTCAGCTCCTGCAAACAGACCTTGCATACTGGTTTAACTGGTAAACAACCTTGAGATTGTGAAGAACAACACAAGGACGTGACTTTCATTTGGTTTTCTTTTACTATAAACTCAAAATTACAATTTGTGTCTTTTAAGCATGTGGTATAATCAACATTTAAAATATTCAAACGTTTTTCCCTTTCCAGCTGTGACGTTCATTTTTCTAACGTGATAAAGTCACCGCCGAGTCTCCCAAATGTACCAACAACAAGCCCTTAGATAGTGTTCTTCTGGTGTACATACTGTATCGTAGTCCTCTAATTTTTGGCAATAGTAAATCCCACAAAAAAAAAAAAGTACCGCTAGTCAGCTACCATTGATGCATCTCTGTACCAAAGGCAACATCAGCAAAAGTTCAGATCTGTACAGGAGAACGTTATTTGGCAAAAGAAAAAAAAAAGATTCTCTGCAAATCCAACCTGCGATCGCTCTGCTATACTTTCTTCTGATAAATAGTTCAAAAATATTGCCTTTTTTTTTCTTCCTTAAAAACAAAACTATCTCGACACCCACGTACCAGACGATAAAAAAGATTAAGTGAAATGTAAATAAAGACATTTTGCTTTTTTGTACAATTTTCATCAGAATGAACCGTCTGTAATTTCAGTAATAAATTAACAAAAAAGAAAAAAAAAAAAAAGGATTCAATCATTGCACTTCAAGTCGCAACAGAAACAAGAGGAGAAAGAAAATTCACCCACACACACAAACTCCATTTTTACAAGTGCACTATGAGTTTGTTATATTCTTTTAAAAAAGTGTATAGAAAGAAAGACTATTGAAGAAAATCCCGCCTCGCTTGTGGTCTATCCGAGAGAGGAGTTAAAGTTACCTGAAAGTGAGAGTGGAAAGTGTTTATAACCCTCTGATGCTCCCTTTTTTTTTTTTTTTTTGTATTGCTCATATATTGTATAAGAATATAAGACATACTGACGTCCTCTCCGGCCTCGTTTGGCAGTCCGTCGGTGGATTATAGTCACATTATTATCTCTATATTCAGTTCACAAAACCAAAATATGAATCAGTCTCAGAGCGGAGGAGTTCATTTGGCTGACGACGACTTTTAGAAACATTAATGCTTGAAATCGTGAGAAAAAAAAACCCCACTGAAGATGGAGAGAAAGCAGAGCGGCCGCCGAGTCCGGGCGACCGCAGAATGCACCGAAGTGAAGCTCGAAAAGTCGTCTTTGATCAACGGTTCTGAAGGAGCGAAGAAAAAAAAAAGTTTCCAGAGTGGAGCTGAGGGAAGGCTTCACTTGGCTGTAAACGATCTGGACGAAGCGAAGTGTGTGTACCGCTAATGCATTAAAGTCGTGTGTAAACTTGTGTGGAAACAAAGCGGATTGGAGTGGCGTCGTGACCGTGAGCGTGAACATGCAGCAGAACGTGTCAGACGGTCGCCCGCTCTAGCTGCCCTCCAGCAGTTTGGCCAACGTGTCCCGCAGCTCGTTCAGCTCGAAGATCTTGCTGTCCAGCAGCTCCAGCAGAGAGCGCAGGCTCTTGCGAAAGGCTTCTCTCTCCATCTGGCTGCTCTCCAGTCGCTGCTCCAGGTCGCTCAGCTGGGCCTCCAGCGTCTGGTTCCTCGACTCCGTGTCCTGAAGCAAACACACATAAAATACACTGAGAAGGGAAACAAAAAACGCTGGATTCAGATCACACAGCGGTTCTATCTGATAAGACATCACTGTGTGACATCAGGACGTTTAATCACACCGTGTGTTCTTGGCCTGAATGGTAGATCAACTTTGTGATGCTTGCATGTGCAATAGTCACGTTGCAGAAGGTGTGACGACAATGAAGGGAAATCAGCTCAAACACATCAGGCTACAACTTCTTGATACAAAAATAAAACCTCCATGGTTCCCATTTTGTATGACAAGTGTGTCTGATAGAAGGTCATCTACTCTGATTACAGGTTTTCTTTTAGCCTTAGTCACAAGACACAAAGTCTGTTGACATGAGGGCTCCATATCTGCACATCAACATCAGTGTGGAACATGAGAAAACAGTGAAAAGGACGACTTGGTTGGAAAAAACAGAACATCAGTTGCATTGCTTCACATGGCGGCGTGCATGGACGCAGCGGCCCCTTCAGGAGACAGCGAGAGCGAACGTTTAGTGTCTTATTCCAGACGTGCATTCCGCAAAACTTACTAATTAAATGATCCTGAACAAACGTTCTCTCATCTTGCCTGTACTACTGTGTATGTACAGCAAAATAACAAAAAACCTGACTTGATTGATTTGATGGATTAATTATCACAAACGTGACTTTGGCTTCTCCCAGTTAAGCTAAAACTGACATTTAAAAGGCTCTGCTCACAGAAACCACCCTGTGTAGATAACTTTGGTAAATATGACATTAGAGCATCTTATTTCACTGTTTTCTAGGTAACGTTTGGTCGCCCTCCTGTCTGAGCTGCTGCAGTAACTGAAGGGAGACTGGAGGCTTCTCGTAACATCGGGAATTTGTAGCGTCTATTGATAAGCAGATGTTCAGCAAATGAAGCGTTTTGGTACATAGCACAAAATGGAAGTGAACGCAGTGCTCTGTTTATTTAAATATGAAAGTGCAATAAGATAATTTGGTCTCTAAAATCAATCAAAAGTTTTGATAAAAAGGCTAATTGATTGAAGAAAAAAATCTGATTAATTATTCTGAGTGCAAAAGCAGATCTGACATCCAAAGAGTAAAAAAGTATTTTGGATGCCTTTACATCATATGAGAAAGTTTTTAGATGCACTAAACTACAAAATTAACTCTGTACTGATACTTTCCTAGTAGAGTTATAGTGACAATTGTGTATTTTGTCATACTGTGTTTATGGCAGACGAGCTAAATATGTCAGTTTTTTCCAGTATGGAGCAGCTTTAAATTGAAATCTAAATCAATCTAAAATTTAAGCAGAAATAAACTAACAGCTCATTTTAAGTCTCTGTTGCTGTACTCATGTTTTTACTGGATTTTTATTTTACTATTAAATGTTAGGAATAATGACTATGCAGCAACTTTGTGCCAGTAATTGGACTTTGGAGGTCCTACGTGGCGTCTAAGATCCCACTCTTGAATGCAGCATCACACAGACTGAGCTCAGGGCGTCACTCACCTGTAGTTTCTGTGTGATGGAGTCTTTTTGGGTCTTGAACTCGTTGGCACTCTCCACCTCTGCTTTAAGTCTCTCCAGCTCCTGAAGACAACACCAGATAGAGGGACTATTAACATGCAAACAGGATCCGTCAAACATTTGGGCTCACCTATCCTTTAGTTTAATTTCAAAGTCCTGTAAAGCTAAGTGTTGAGCCTCAGCTTCTCCACCTCCTGCTTCCATCTACCTCCTCTTTGGCCTTCAAAGCCATCTCCAGCTCCTCTATGGTTTGGTTGAGCTCCGTCTTCTGAGACTTGATTGCTGTCGTTTGGCCGCTCACACACTCCAGCTCCGTCACCTGCAACACCAAAACAACAAATGTGCATCCGGGCCCGGTAGAGACGGCAGGCACAGAGAGGAGTTTACTGTGAGCGGTGACTGAGCCGTACCCGTTTGTGGAGCCGCTCGGCCTCCTCCTGATAGGCGGCCAGCTGCTGTTTCCACTGTTTGACGTTGGCTGTGGACTCGAGCAGAGCCGCCGTCAGTTTGGCGTTGTTCCCTTTGAGCGCCGCCAGCTCTGCCTCCCAGTGCTTATTGATGCTGGATGAACTGGTGGAGATGAAAGGAGACGAATACAGCTGCTGGTTAATCTGTGCAGTGGTTTCTCAATGAATAGAAAGTGTTGATGGTGACCAAGGACAGAGTTCAACAGCATTTTATGGAATCCAGATCTCTTTTTCGGCTTCTGTTTCAACATTTTAAAGTTAGTTTTCTAGCTGTGAGCCCTGAAAGTCGATGCGGTCATCATCATCACTCATCTGATTCCACTGACATTCTTCAAATTGAGCCTTCGTTTATCAACATGACGGCGTGCGCTGTGCTCATGATTAACTGATGAGAAATATGTAAAGCTGAAGTGCAGTGATGCTTTTATTAGCAGGGGTTTCATGAGCATGATGCTGAAGTTAGCTTCTGATTCAGCAGCTGAGGGCAAAAGGAAGGAAAGGAGGGAAAGTTCCTTCTGTTTGAAGTGTCAGAAAAATGCTACAAATACTGCAGGACATCAAGTCTACGTCCCTTT